CCTCCACAACCACCACCATCCACCAATTACCAATGCTTCTACCTCCACAACCGTTGTCATTGCAACAATCTTCACTACGCCTTCACCAATTGATAAGGATCATCCAAACCGAATAACACATAATTTCTCATTTGTATGAATCGGGTTTTTTCAAACTACCATCAATTATATAAAAAAAATTCCTTCAAATTTGGTACTATTTTATATTTATGTATATGAAAATTGTGTACAAATGTTTATAAATTAAATTATTCATTCAACTTTGGTACTATTTTATTATAACTATTATATGACATATAAAATCATAAAATAACTTTTGAGGGCAACTTGTCTAGTTATGTCATATCCAGTTCCTAGTCATATCAAATACCAGACATTCATTTGTTCTGTCCAATCTTGTCTAATCCTACCCCTCTTGTCATGTATAGTCTTGTATAGTTCTGTCTTGTTCAATTATATTTGCATATCAAACGGTACCTTAGCTTATGCAACTTGTACACGTCACTACTAAAAAACTGTGTTTCCCTGTCAAATTTTTCTGGTGGATTTGCCGTCGGTAACTTACCGACTTATCCCAAAAAAGTTAAAAAAGAGTCAACTTTTGTTGACTTCCGCTAATGATTTTTTTTAAATAAAAATTTATTTCGATCACATTTCCAACGGATTATTTAATAACTTATTATTTTAAACAATTCATCACAAATTGCGGTTTGAAAATATTTGAACAATCCAACTTAACGTTTGTGGTTTGAAAAATCCTAACCGAACCCAACCCAACCCAAACCGTACGGATTAGTCGGTTGATACTTTGGTACATTAAAATATTTTTCTAATCTTGAATATGTTTCTCTACCCATAATTTATTTTTCATCCTCAACCATTTGATACAACGTATACATACTTCTTATGTATATCACATTCAATTAATTTTCTTTAACATATATATGTTCATAGTTACTGAACATATATATGAATAAGTTATATAGAGATGTGAATATATTGAAAATATATGTATATGAAGAACATACATGATAGTGTAATTGTCTAATGTATATGTTAATAAAAATTCAACAATCATATTAAATCCAAAAAATAAAAGGATGTTGGGTTGGATTGAGTTCAAATAATAGTAATCCAATATCAATACAATACTTACGGTTTGAAAATTTTACAATTCGATTAGACATCGAGTTGAGTTATTTTATGTTGGGTTGGGTTGAATTGATCGTGTTAATCGGATTGGTCGGATTTTTGAGCATCCCTAATTTGTAGATGTACATTAATTCTTGATTGAATATAATCCGCGGGTAGTATTTTTATTCCAATGATTATGTTTATGTTGTGATTCTTTATAACATTAGTGGTGATTTGTGGGAGTATTTCTTGTGTTATGCTTCAATTGTTGATTTTATTATGTTCATTTAATATGTGTCATATATAAATGTGTATTTATCTAAGAAAATTCAAATAAAATGAATATTAATTTTCAGTTAAGTTAAAAAGATTGAAAAAGTTGAAAGAAATTTCAACGAATTTTTAGCTGCCATATCTGCTGGAAAATACAAAACCGCCAGAAATCCGCCAAAAAATGAATTTTGCGGCGGGGTTTTTTCGGTGGATTTAGCCATCGGAAAAACCCATCTTTTTAGTAGTGCGCGAGGGTCGCAACACTAGGTCGCTAAAATAGGCATCTCCGACCTACCTAGGTCATTGCATTAGATTTCGGCAATAGAGGATATGCGAGACAACTCGCACACACGAAATTAAGTGGACACGTTAAATATCATGTATTGTATTTCTCCATGTTTTACCTTGCACCGGGTCACATGGCTAGTTTACATGTATGTATTTAATTAAGGCCTTCATTCACAAACTCCACCTTGACTTCAATCCAACCAAAATAAACACAATACTTCATCGGGTCTTCAGAAAAGTTTGGGGGTTTACAAGTTAAAAACATTTTGATATCACCCTTTTCTGGTATTTGTGGATTGAATTTGCAGGTTTATTTCGACCCTTTCTGTCTCTACCCTGGCCGGTACTCCCAGAATAGATGTCGGTATATTTCTCAGCTTACTCATTTTCTCTGCTAACATATCCCGAGTAACATACTCAGGAGGTTGTACTAGTTCTTGATTTATATTTTCCTGATCAGATGAACTTTAGGTTGATTACTCCTTCCTTTCCCACAACCCCTTCCACGACCTTTACCCCGACCTCTCCCTCTACCTCTAGGCGTGGGAATGGGGCGGGGACCTCAATCCCTGTCCCCGTTCTCGTTTACTTATCTATATCCCCGTCCCTGTCCCCGTCCTCATCCCCGCGGAAGAACATAATCACATCCTCATCCCCATCTGCAACAGGTCCCCAACGGCAAAACGGGGATTTTTTTTCCCGTTTATGTAAGTTATATTAAATTAAATATGTGAGAGGCCATACATGTTTAAATTTCAAACATTTTCAATAAACTTAAAACCAAAATGAATTTAATTTAATATTAAAAAAACACAACATCATATAAGAACAAATAATCTAAAACCAAAAAAAATCAATTTAATCCAAAAAAACTTAAAGTCACATGTACCAAAGGATATTAAGCTATATAAAACCATATCGAGTAATATACAAAACTTATCTAGTAATTATATTTTGACTTGACATCCAAAATATTACATATTAACATCCGAGAAATAACAATTTTAGATTATAAACTTAGTTAGGAAATAGGAAATTATGAATTACCGCTTTAGTTGAAATAAATAATATACATATATATATATATATATATATATATATATATATACACATATATAGGGGCAGGTTCAAATGAAAACCATGTCATTCTAAAAAACCGTGTAAACCAAAATCGACGAATAAGAACATTCTTTTTTAATTAAATTTAATCAATAAGGTCATTTTGGTCATTTTCATTATTTTTTTCATAAATAAGGAAGTTATTAAGGAATATTAAATAATGAAATTTAATAATGGAAATTATATAAATGGAATGATTTAAAGATTTTAATATATTATAATATTAAAAATTGATTTTCTTTTTTTTTTATTCAATGAAGCTGGAAACATTCATGAAGATTTTATATTGTTATGTAATGAATGCATGATTTGAGGTTCATTGTATCAAAAATTACCGGTTATGAACCTGTTTCATATGAAAAGGTTTTAATATGAAAAGGTTTCATATTACCAGAGCATAACATATTATTGAGCATATGAAAATGTTTCATTACGAAAAAACGGTTGCATATTATATTAATATGCGTAATGAAAAGGTTTCATCATAATGAAACAGGTGCATAATATATTTTAATTTTTATGCAATTAATGTTCATATCATAAGGTTTCATTATAAAATGTTTTATTTGCTTCTTTTATTTATATTGTATATGTTCATGTACTTCCAGTTCATGGTGATGAAACATATTCATGTTCAAGTTTTTATGTATATTCATAGTTAGGTTAGTGAAAATGAAACGAGTTCATGATGTAATTGATCAGTTAGTCATTAACCGCTTTAAGACTTGAAAAATGATGGTGGAGGTGAATGGTTTAGTTGATGAAATGGGTGCATAATATATTTTATTCTCTATGCAATTAATGTTCATATGAGACGGTTTCATTATAATATGGTTTATTTGCTTCTTTTAGTCATGATGAAACATGTTCGTATACTCGTTTCATGATGATGAAACATATTCATGTTCAAGTTTCATGGTGATCCATGTTATATTGTGTGTGATGAGGATCCGTTTATTCGGATACTTGAAAATGAAATGAGTTCATTTACAATTGTTTAATGACTGTTGAACTCGTTTCATGGCCAACCACGTTGTAAAATTACGTAGGGGGTCCGTTCAGTGGATGTAACGTTTTAATTAGAATGAAACGGGTTCATAATTCATCATTGCAAAAAATGAATGAGTTTCAATATCAAATGAGTATAATGAAACTCGATCTTGCATAATCATAAAATTTAATAAGCGCATTAAACAATGAAAAAATTTCATTAACTAAATTGTAACGAATCCGTCAACAGAGAAATTAAGAAAAACGAAATATGATCATTTATTTTAATTTTTAATGAAATTATTCAATATACATTAGTGAATATGTTGTGTTTTGATTTTGATATAACTTATTGATGAATATTATTTWAAAAAATGTTAACATTAAAATAGTATATTACTTCACAAAGTGAATCAATTTCATTAATAATATAATTTACCTGATATGGTTGCCTTGAATAAAAAATACTATGAATTAAATTTATTTAAACTCATAGACATTATATATATTCATATCGTTTGAGCCATAGACAAATACAATAGTCAACGACAATGAGTGATCAGGGAGAAGGTATTATTTGTCATGAAATTCATGACATATACAGTAACGTTGTTGCGGATGAAGATGGGTGCTATGGTATGTGTTATGTATTTTAATTTCTAAGTCAATGTACCTTCCATAACATGAATGTTTGTATGATGTTCGTCCGTATTTGGGTCCTTGTATGCGTTTCATAGTTGGAGAATTTGTATAAAGCAGTTAGTAGGATTTGAGAATAGGGTTATGGTTTGATCACATCAATGGACAATATTTTTTCATGAAACAATTTCATTAATACGGATACCATATAGTATCCATATTGTTAATGAAGGTGTTTCATTAACACATACAATATCCCTAGTATCCATATCATAATGAAAATATTGTAATGAAAATATTTTAATGAATAGTTTCATAAAATAAGTTAAAAAACTTGAGCATGTTGCGTATAACTAATAGGACGTAATGAAACATAGTAATGGCGTTAATATTCGTAAGTGTAACTATATTGTAATTTCAATTTCTACTTGTTAGATGCATTATCACCAGAAATGGGGGAATCACCTGAGGGCACGAAGTTATAGTTTCCTAAAGTAGATGGCAATATTTGTCCAAAAGTTGGTGAATTCTTTTCATCGGTTGATGCCGTAGAAAATATGTATAGGAAATACGCGGACGTTGCTGGGTTTGATATCCGACTGGCCAGCAAGAAAATGAACTCGTTGGGTGAAGTGCAAACACGTTATTTTGTTTGTAGCAAAGAGGGTATTCCACCCAAAAAGGAATTTGATTCTTTAGAAGTTTCATCGGGTGAGAGGAGAAGACGTAATACAAATTTCAAACGTACTGGTTGTAAAGCTTGCCTAAAGGTACACTATGTCAAAGAGAGTGGCCGGTACAAGGTTTATCATTTCATTGAGTCTCATAATCATATGCTTTGTCGTTCGGATGAAAAGTTGTTCACCCGTTCAAGACGCCAACTTGACTACAAGGATCGTAAATTTTTTTACCATGCATCCAGCTCTAAAGTTGGTATCACTCAATCACGCAGGATGCAGTTGGCAATTAACGGAGGTTTAGTATCATTAGGTGGGACAGCTAGGGATCATATGAACTTTAGAAGAGACATAATGCTATTCGTTGGTAACAAAGATGCACAAATGCTAATAAACAAGATGAACAAACGGCGTGAACATTTCCCAGAATATTTTTTTGAATATAAGTGTGATGAGAAGGAGTTGATTGCAATTTTTTGGGCAAATGAAACAGCAAGAATGAATTACAAACATTTTGGAGACACCATATCGTTTGACACTACATTTCGGACAAACAAGTAAGTTGTCTTAAATTATTTGTTATAAATTGTTTTATTTATATCCAATGAAAGATATATATGCTTCTTTTGCATCTTAACAGGCATGCAATGATTTTTGTWCCATTTGTTGCAATTGACAATCACAAGAAGTCCGTTGTGGTTGGTGCTTCATTGATTAGAAATGAATCAATCGTTAATTTCACTTGGGTATTGAGGGCGTTTATGAAAGCACACGGTACTCAGCCAAAGTTTGTAATAACCGATCAATGTGCAACAATGAAACAAACGATCCCTATAGTTTTTCCAGAAGCTACTCATCGATTGTGTATGTGGCACATAACAAAAAAAGTGAAGGAAAAGGTATGTCTAATTTCATCCATTGGGTACAATTCTAATATATACATACATAAGTTTGTTTACTACGCGTTTCGTAACAAAAAAGTCTTCATAATGGGCAATATGAAAAAAATGGTTTGACAATTTCTTGATTGTGTGCTTGTTTCATTGTGAAGATCTGTGATCATTTAGCCCATGGGACCCCGTTTAAAAGCAAGTTCAACAAACTCGTATGGAATGTACACCTAAGTCCCGAATATTTGTGAGGAACATTGGTTTTTGTTTCATTTTGATTTATCTTAGCTAGTAACGGTTATCGATGAAATTCTGCTGGCTCCTAAAATTATTGGGATTAGCATGTTCATGTAATGGTAAAACGTTTAGAGTGGGATGCGATGAAGGTGTTAATGAGATACGTCCATCACGAAGAAAATAATTTTTTATGGTATTTGTTTGAAATTTTTTTTCTAACGTAGTAACCTTCTACACTAGTGAATATGTGAGTGTAAGATATATGTAATTTATCTTACCAATATGTGTTCATTGGAATGAAAATAGTGAGAACATCTAATGAAATACTGTAAAAGTGAAGTAGCTCTCTCTATTGTCGCGGTTAAGACGTAAGAGTACTCATAAAATAATGCTTAAAATGTTACATCTAGAAACATGTTTTAGATATAAGATAACGATTATACATGTGAATTTGATAGTCAAACTGTAGGAACCATGTGATTATTCAAGTATAAAAAGGGTTGGTATAGAGTACAAAAAGTGATGAAAGCGTTTAATCGATGAAACAGGTGCATACAATCCGGTATATTTATGGTTGTTGTATTTAAACTTATGTGTGAAGGAAAATTGGTTTACTAGGCCAGCGTGTGAATCAATGTCTGTTCATGATAGGAATGTAAATGTTATAATGAAAATGAAGTTTGTTTGGGACGGTGCAATTGAAATGATGTATGATGTCTTATGTCATTCCTACTGAATTCGGTAGTGTCGCGTTTGATTAGTAGTATCATACTGTGCAATGATAAAGTTTCATTGTAATATTTATTTGTGGACTATTCAATGAACATGAAATAGTTTCATAATAAAGATATATAACACAAGTACTTCAAGCAAGGACTAAAGATACGGTTGATTTTAATAGGAAAAAAGACTAAGCATTAAGTTGCTTAGCAAATATTTGAGTACTTGTTAAGACAAGATCAGTTAATTCAAATGAAAATGAACAATACATAACTGACTACTAAAAAAACTACAAAATCCATGTCATAACCTCCAAAATATAACCCCAAAAAAAGTATAACTAGTGAACCAATGCTAAACCAATGGATTGCTATGCTTGAACGTTAACGCCTATTGCAGATGTCTTTGTTGCTTTTGCTTGCTCTATCGCTTTCTTTTTGGCTTCGGGATTCATTGCATGAAACTGATCAACCTCTTTCACGATTGACTCCCTTCTTTTGATGAAGTTGCTGAGTAATAACTTCGCCGTGTATTTCTTCTTTAGATCAGTAAGCTGGGTTCTTTAATTCGGTCCTTCTGTAGTGAATCCGGTCTTCCATGACCTTTCATCTCCCATCCAAGTTTTCATATGCCTCATCAAGAACACACCTCCATCCTCGAAATTGTCTTTTGTTTGCCAACTCATTTCCAAGCGTTTCATCTATTTCTTGCCAACTAGGATGGCCTACAACTCTTAGATGCTTGATCATAAGGCGATGCTGGAGAAAGAAATAATCAATTGTAAAATGTATTTCATGAAGAACATTCAAGTACAAGAGTGATTGTCAAGTTAGTATACTTACTAATAAGTCGACAACGTGTTCATACAACCCCATATCGTCTTCGATCTGACAACCTTTCCAAAATTTGTTGTCTATTACAACAACTGATGGCTTCTTGAAGTTAAACACCACCATGTAATAGTGACCACAATCCATAATAGGAAAAAAAGCCTCTGTGTGTTAAACTGTTATGTAATGTCATGCAAAAAATAAATGTCTACGTAAATTTAAATGCAAAAAAATGTAAATAGTGAGCATACGAGATCCATATTGCGCATTTTAATAATTTCCATGTTGAAACGCACTGATTTCGCGAGGTAAGTGCTGAAAATGTCAAACTGAACATTAAAATCTGCCTGATGAGTCTTAAGCTTCAGATCTCCCTGTATGATAGTCATGTAGTCAGACAACATTCATGAAATCATGTTTTGTTTAATTAGGAATCACTTTGTTAATATTATATAGCTTACCAATACAGTTGTATTGAAAAAAAAAAACGACGCGGTGAATCTCGGCTTCTGTACATTTCCTCCATGTTTAGCAATTCAGCCCATCCATCTATAACATTTGTGTAGACAATTGATTTGGATGCTAGACTAGCCAAATTCCCCCGCAATATGTTTGTGGAATTCTCCAATTCGAATACAATGTCGCTACAGATTTGTCACGTAAACATAATTATATTAGTCGAATCATATGTCATTGATAATTTGTTAGTAAGTGCATTTGGTAACAATGTACTACAGTGAACATATAGTAAAAACATATTCTTACAAGGTTGATCCAATTTCTGCGAGCGCCCACTCATGTATACGTCTATCCTCTGCAGTTACCTTCATGTCTATAGCCCGCCGAACAAAAGGTGATCTAAGGTGATCTCTGTTGGTCCCAAAGGGTTTACAAGAATACTAAACAGTTTGTAGAAGGGGGGGGG